GACTTTTTTTTACTAAAAAATGTATAGGTATACAATTTACACGTTTATTTTAATTAATAGATAACTCAATTGTTTATTAACTTAAAAAAATGCTATTGCGATAGAAACCTTCTCCGAGGTATAATCTTAAGTTTAAAAAAAATATCAAGAAGATCTGATCAGTATAGTTCCAGAGTTTATACCCTGTACAAAGATTTTCATTTCACATTTATATATATATACCATTTAAAATAGTTAAATAATTTATAATTAAATATTTAAATTAAAGATTAACTATATAATTAAATATAACTAGAGTTTGCTAATATGTTTTAGTATTTTAAATTTTAAATGTATTCTTTCGAATAATGCATGGTTACAAATAAAAGCTTATAGTTCATTAAATACTAATTTTATAAAGGTAGTTAAATACTTATGTATACCATTGTAAATAAGTTACCTTCTTTTTGTTTTCCTCTAATAGTAAAGCTGTTTATTTTTCATTTACGTATATTATTATAATGTTATGAGCCATAAGGGCCAGTTACTGTATTATTTTTGTTTGAGTGTGCGTTAATCGCCACTATATTGTTACTCTTGATTCGTATATGAGCGAGTCGCAGCATTTATTATCATTTTCATTTGTGTGTGCAAATTATCACTGCGAGAGTCACATACTGCAAATTATTAATTTTATATTATTTATTTTAATTGTATAGCACAGGACCAGCTGGCCAGCTCCACCAACAAATAACAATGAGTTTTTCTTATTATTTTTTAAATTTTTTTATATTTATTATTAATATTTTGTTCGACCATAAGTGCCGTGCCGTTTTATAATATATACTTTCATAATACATTATTTATATTTATACTTATTAATACTCGTACGAGCAACAGCTCTAACGGCTGATTTTATATTATCTTAATTCTGTTTGGCCATAAGGGCAGTGCATTATTATCTTTTCTTTTCTATAAATTATAATTTTATCATTGCTCAAATAGGCAACTGATCACCGATCACTTGTGCCTATAATCTTATCATCTCTCCTGTTGGGCCAGAAGGGCCATATTATATTATAATCTTACTCTGTAGTCTGTTGGGACAGAAGGGCTATACTACTACCAAGTTATTTTGTGAATTATTTACATTATAATTTTATACATTTTTTGTTACTGTGATTTTTTTTAATTCCGTGTTAATAATTATTATTCTATATTATATTATACAGCAACCGTGCTACCATTTTCTCATAATTACCAGTTAATTGTAAACACACACACTCTCGTACACGTTAGACACAAATACATATACAAATACAAATACATATACATATTACACAACTTGCACTACGTAGCTCAACCATATTTGCCCGCCAATCCCGATAACTGCTGTTCGGGCTACTACACCACTATACAGCAAGCTAGTCCTCCATATTTTTAAGACATAGGTGCTAGTGGTGAGCAACTAAGTTGGTGTCCGGTTAAGCATATTATTATTATTTATTATACACCCCGGCCCGCGCATTTGCCTATACATAATTTTCATGCAACTTAAATTCATTTGTGTGCAATTAAGCCATAACAGTTTGAGGGGAGAACTCCGCCTAAAAATTAAAGCTACGTCTCCGACCTCAGTGAAGTAGTAACGTTGCGTGTGTGTAACACAAGAATAAAATCTGGTAATAGAAACAAGTTTTATTTCCATGGATGCTAAATTGATTCAAGGAGAAGATTCCCGCTTAAACTAATATTGGTTCCCTTGTTATAATAACAAGGTATGTTTGTTTTTAACTTTGTTCATTTTTGACTAAACCTGCAAGCTCCCTGATCAGAATAGTTTTCCAAAATATGCTCTTAGACGACTCAAATCATTTTTTTTAAAATTTATTGTACCTATATATAAAATATTGGTTCATGAAACTTATTTAAGTATATTATTTTTTAGTACACACAATAACATTTTTAAATGCAATTTATTTGCAAAAATGAATTTAACTTAGTGTAGTAGACCTATTTTTTTTACTCACAATTTTTATAAACACAAATATTTTACTAAAAAATATATTTTTTTAAATACCTTTTTATTATTATACAAGAAATTATTTACAGGAAATCTTATGTGCATTAGTGATTTAAAAATCATGTAAAAATTATAGGTAACTAGTGGAAACTTAAAATAAATATTCAATCTATCTTCTTCTAACCACCCAAGCGGACATCTATGACTTACGCCATTACCCACAACGGGCGCAGGACTGTACCTGCACTGGCTACCGATAGTTGGCTGGCCCTTATCGGCACAGTACTGGCTAACATGTTAGCCAGTATTACACAAGTGCTGGTAAACTAACACTGCATATACTGGCTGCCAGTACTGACTCAGTACGGACACATTACGGGCACCTGTATGAATTGCGACCTTGGGCCAACCGGTGTTAGTCGTAGACCGTAGTTGTGGCAAGCGTTGGCGGTATACTGACATATTACGGGTGATGTACGAGTTGTGAGAGTTATGCGAATTCTGAGATAAGGCCTTAAGGCCAGCCCTTATATCTTGTAGTTGGCTCATCACCATCACACAACGAGCTTGGCAGTCTTGGAAAGTACTTGTGTAAAACATTTGTTTTGTTTAAATTTAAATGTGTTAATAATATTATATTCAGTATTATTTTCGTAAGTATAAACCAATTTAGAACCTAGGTATATTATTACATTTAAATATTGTATTATATAATATTTAATATTATTTAGGATATTAATTAAATAAATATAGAAATTTGTTGTTGTTGATCCGTTTTTTTCGGGAAAACCCATGTAACGACGTATGTCTCTGCTGCCGCCACCGCCCCGCCGCACACCGCACTGCTGTTGTGCTATCATGTAATGAGTACTGACCACTGACGCGCTGAAGCAGTAAACCGCTCTTGTCTATCAGTAATTTATTAATTTCTTGTGTCATAAATATTTGTATGTTATATTATAAAAAATATCTACAACCCAGCCAGCCTAGCACCTAGTTGCTACTTCGGTTGTATACATTGTTTGGTAAGTACCTATCTTTTTTTCTTATTACTTATTAGTCATTAGTTATTTATAATTTATGTTAGTTGTAACTATCTACTACATAAATTTATATAGATTTCGTTACCTATAGATCTCAAATACCACACATGATAATTTTGGTGAAATGATGGTTAAAGTACCTATAATTTGTAAGGTACCTATCACATGTGTAATAACAATATTCAGTTATTAAATTACCTAATTCAATTGTTTTTTAATTTCTTAAAAAATTCACCTAATTAGAAAATTGAGTCATAATTCTAATTTGTGAGTACCTACCTAATAACTATAGAATTTTTGAAGGCAGGTAGTGCCTATCATTGATTATTATTTAAAATATAAATAGTTTCAAGTCTAAATGTATTTTTTGATCAGTTTAATGTTAGTTACAATAATATGTAGATACATGATGCTAGTAGAATGTCTAGTAGTTACCATAGGGCATAGAGGTAGGAACTAGGGTTATAGGTACTTCTATGTATTATATTTAGGTAATATTATGTATCTTTATATAGTGGCGGGTTAATGTAGTCAACTTTGACAGTCTTGTCATTTAATTAAATTATGGTGGTTGACTGGTTGAGTCATTTTATTAAACATTGTTGGAATATGTTGCTGTCAAACAGTTTGTTTCATTTAATGTAGTTGTTTTATATCTGACAACTGTCTCTGTGAGGGTGGGTATGTACAATTATAACTGTTTCCTTAAAAATAAGAGTGTAGGTAGTCCGTCACTGCCAATATTGTTATTTTTATTTATTCTTCAAGGAGATAATGAGCCCCACTGAACAAGTTCGTGTGGGGGCCCATGAGTTCACAATTTGAAATATAAATACATTAAATAGTTCATATGAATTAAATAATTACACTTGGTGATATACATTTTTCGCATAACTAGAATATTAATATAAGTGAATGCCTACATGTTTTCTTTTCTTTGTTTTTATAATATAATATTATAATCTAGTATAATCTAGTATTATGTAAAGAATTGTGTAATCAAATAATACAATATAAAACAAAGATTAACAATAATTATTACTAAAGTTGTATAACTTATATAATAAGTAATGCAGTAATCCTATACATTTGTTATGAGTCTTTTGTTCTTGTAATAGCCAAAGTGTAATTTTTTTTTTAAGAATCTGAAAAGAGTTGCAGCGTTTAATTTCTAATGGTAGTGTATTGTAAATGTTTAGACCAATACATAAGTGTGTGGATTGTGTTAATTTTTTGTGCATAATTGGTACTTTGATATTAGATATTTGTAATTACAATTATTTCAATCTCTTAAATTCAAATGTTTATTTATATTATTATTATTATAATATCGTTAATATTGTAGATAACCAAAAAAAAAAAAAAATTATGTATTATAAACTATGCCATGGTTGGTTACAGATATCGATTATAAGAAAAACTCAACACATATTATGCTGTTATAAAATTTGACGAAAAAACAGTCGACGGTAAAGATTGCATTGATCTCATACCCTTGCCATGGACAAATGTTGAGAATGGATTATCACACTGTAAATATCCAGATAAAAAATATTATGCAACAATTAATAAGACGAGCATAACTTTGTCTGGCCATAAAGAATCTTGGAAAGGCTTTGGCATCAGCATTATTTCAGAAGCTAGTAAGTAAGACCTTAATTACCAATATAATATTTTGATACATGCTTCTATTGCCGTGACGACGTACGGTCAAAGGAAAAATCACGGCGGCCGTGCTATTATTTTGATTATCGCAGTCGACTATCCCGTTGACTATTTACATGTTTTATAACTCACAAGAAACATTCAATGATAATTATAACAAAAATAAAACAATAAAAAGTGGTTATTGTGTATGTGTGTGTAACCAGCTGTTCTTCCGTGATGTATCTTATGTAATATTATGATTACCGTTGCGCTTCGGCGGCAACAATAAGTACCTAACTAGCTTATCTTTAGTAACACTGAACTATAATAATTTATTGGTTGACAAAATTATGTGATAAAAAAATTAAAACAAATAGCATTATTTTATTTTTTAAATTGCCGTTTTATTTCTTAGAGTAATTTATAATAATAATAATAATAATGATAATTTATAATTCATCATAATACAAGAAAATGTGGTCGTATTTAATATAAAATACATATTTTTATATGAATTCAATAAGTTTTCCACAACTTCTGGAGATGGTTGAAAATGTGGTTGTATTGTTGATCCATTAGGCACGATGGTCAATTCAGCTATCTGTTGATATATACAAATGTGATGTAAACACTATTATTATTTTTACATTTTAAATATCCTTTAATTTAATCTTAATTAGCAACAGCTTATGTAGATACTAGCTGTCCCGTCACGGTTGCATCCAAAAACCGCACACTGTTGATTTTGACCCTAAAAATGTCGACAGCCAAAAACCGCCAGCTTATCGGTCATTGTATAGGTAACAAATTACCGTACATTTATAGTGGGTTAAAACCACACACTATTTTTAGTGAAAATAGTGAAAAGATAAGATTATAAGATATGCACTACCTATTCAATAATCAAGTATTTAGTTGTCACTCGTTATTAGTCGGTCTCGATTCGGTTAGTGTACCTACGTCTATAATTTAGTGTTAAAACGTTAATATCTTAATTTTTTATAATGGATTTTAAAATTATTGAAAGTAACAAAGGGGGCAAGTGCTTAATACTTGACGATTTTAAATAACGAAAATTTAGAGTCAATATTAGTGGAAATGTGGTTTGGCGGTGTTATATTAAAAATTGTACATCCACGGTTACAACATGCAGTCAATTGAAGAATATACTAAAAATAAATAACACACACAAACATGAACAGGTGGAAACTGTGAAAATTCAAGTTCAAGAGGTACGTAATGTATGTAAAACTGAATCGTGTTACTTAAAAATGTGGGTCAATATTAAAAATATATGTTTGAAGTTAGGGCAAGTTTTAAATATAAACACTATCCATCTCGATTTTGATGAATTATTGGTTTAAATTATGAATTATACATATGCGTTTTTTGTTTATCGACCTCTTTGGGGTCGAAATCATAACTGTGCGGTTTTTGGATACGACAATTTTTAAAATTGTGCGGTTTTAACCTATTGAATGTGTGCGGGTTTAACCTGTATTTTATCAAAAGTGTGCGGTTTTTGGAGTCAACGCCCGTCACGGCGTTGCCCGTATATATTACATAGCTAAATAAAAACAAACCCTCTTGCCCCCTAAGAGGTCTAATTTTGTAAAATCTTTTAAAAACAAAAAAATAATAATAATAATATTTACAAATGATTCTCATAATTCTATACACATATTGTTATTAAAAAATGATTCTATAGTTATAATTATAATTTGTATAGTTTAACAAGTTTATCGCACATCGATAAGAAGAGTATTATTTTTCGATAACGCAATTTGTATGATTTAGCTAATTGGTGTTTCACATACAACTCTTAACTCAATACAAATGTTATATTAGTTTGTAGTTTATATAATTTCGGCAAGTATTCCTACGTCATAAATAGGGCGCGGATTTCAATGCAAAATGCATTTTTTTTTCCTAAATCCTTACGCAATGCTCAGTTTGGTAAAAATAAGTTTCAAGTGGTGTAGATTCATGTAATTCAATTTTTATTTAGCATTTTTTTTTGCATTTTTTGTCGGTTTAACTTCTTTATGCATTTTTGGTCATTTTCGCTACTTTTAAGGTTATTATTTTCATATTTTCGAAAAATGTAGCATTTTTAGAGAGAAATAAAAACATTTTAAGTATTCAATATTTTTCTTTTACTAAATTATTTAAAACTACACTTTATCGTCTGTTTCATATATGAATTGTGGTAAATGATAATAGTCGATGACGATAACAATAAAACGGACTACGTGTGTATAGCGTACATAGTGGGACTAGCCACACTATTAATAGTCCCGTCAGTGGACAGAATTTCCGTTTTTCAACGAAATATAGTTTTATACCTACATACCGTTCTAATCAGCTATTTCTATTATTGCTATCTTCTAAATATTCTATTTTTTTATGTCATTAATTAAATTTTAATAAAATAAAAAAAATGATGTGAATTTTTTTACATCATTTTTCACATTTTTAGTACATTTTTTTACGTAATTAATTGANAATTTTTAGGTCATAATAGCATTTTTTCTAAGGCATTTTTAGATTTTTTTAGGGCATTAAAATCCGCGCCCTAGTCATAAATACAGCGGTTTCAGCAGTTTCTACGTTCGATCGTCAGTAGACAAATTAATTGTCGTAGTGTCGTGTCGAAACAAAGATCAATTGCATCATTATATCTTTTCTAGCTGATCCCTTGCACTTCGTTGCCTTTAACAAAATCCCAACGAATGTAGACCCTAGTACTTGGAACCCAACTAGAGTGAACAGATTTAAGCATATTAAAAGTCTGTTTTCTTAGTCTTTGATTATGAAAACTGATATTTTTTCATTGTTGTATTGATTTGATATTAATTGGATATTATAATAATAATTAATTGAATAATATAGGTAGGTATACCTAACAAAATAACTTACAAGTACAGTTGGCGGAGTGGCCAAAATTGTGATATCTGCGTTAGCAACATCTTCGGTTTTAAGTATGTTCAGATCCTTTACTTGAAATGTTGAATTTGGTTCCTTACTACGTTCAAGAAGTCGTAATAAAAGGTCTGTTGAAACTCCGCCCGGACTTATGCTCTTAACATATCAAAATATTTTACAAATATAATACAAATTATGACTTGATTATTATTTACTGTATTTAGGCCAATTCATAGCCTCGCGTACTTTGTTGTTTTTCGATTTAAATTATTTAAGTTTGTACACACAGGCAGATTTGAGCCATTTGATGGATACAAACAAAATGTAAATCGAAAAACGCACTAGTACCGTATGTGAGGCTGCGAAAATATTGTTTGTAATTTATACGTACAGATACTTTGATTTTTGAGCCTACTAACTGTAGATCGTGACGAAGTCCCTCACATAAGACGCTGACCGCGACTTTTGAAGCATTAGACATTTTCATGGCAAAGTATGGAGTTATATGATGACCTCCAATACTGTGTATAGGTATAAAAGTAATATAAAATAATTATAATGATTCATAATCTTTTTAGCTTAGAAAATGTGTATTTCAATATTTTGTACACTTCATCAAGTTATTAATTAAGTAGTTATTAAGTTATTAACTAAGTAATTTCAATTTTGAACATTAGCTATCACCATTTACCTGTTCACTTGAATAATATGACCATCGATTTTATTTCTTGTCATTGATTGATAAGCTTCCCTTGAGCACACATTTAATGCCAACACATTTAAATTCATCGTATCTTTCCAATCTTCCAGTTTCCCGTCTTATTAAATCAATTAGTGATGTTAATTGTATAATAACAAGATACCAATTAAATTTTAATGTTTTTTTTCTCACTTAGAAGACTTGATATTTTTACAGTTCCAGCGTTATTGATTAAAATACTAACACCTCCTAGTGTAGAATCAACCCAAGAAAATACATTTTTAACAACTTGTTCATTTGTTACATCGCAAACTTTTGTATGTACAGTACCATGGTTATTTCCTTTTCCATTTAGTGATTCTGCTAATTCCTTCAATAAATGTTATAAAGCCACTTTTACATTCATATAATTTCCAGGCAAACCAGAATAAGTATTTAAATATTTATGTCGTATCAGTTTTCAATATGACTTTGAAGAAAACAATAACTTTTAAATAATATTTTTAATGCATTTTACATGTTTTATTTTTTCGTAGAGTTTACCATCAGAATAATAAACATTTTTGGTATAGGTTTATAGGTCAACTTTAAAGTCATTAACTCATAAATCATAACCAAGGTTCGGGACTTATTAATAGCATTTGGTTATTTTTTTGGCTTCACTTAAAATCTATCAGGATGCTATGGAAATCGATTTATTGATATCATGTTAGTTGATGTTACTACCTATATGATTTAAAATATGACATGCATGTTTTTGCTTATTTTGGTTGTTTTTTATGCATTTTATTTATGTTTTCCGTTTTTTCAATAACGCGTCATGCACAGATACCTAGTATTTTATAGTATATATATTCGAAAAACATGTCTTAAGACTTAAGCCCTATTTTTTAAATTTCCTATGTTTGAGGCCTTGAGCTAGTTAATGTTATTTGGGATTACTTCATTACTTCATTACTTATTTTAACGTTTTTCAAGTTTTTCAAGCTTATTTTGAATATTCTAAATACTTTAAGCCATGAACCCTGAGGTTTTTTATTTATTATATTTCAGTGTTCATTATTTTGCCTAGTCCAAAGCTAAAAAACAAAAAAGCTTAATCAATCATCCATAGGCGTAACTTGGACTCTATTCACGTGGGGGCAAAAACAATTTTTGAGAAACTCTACAGATTTTCATAATCGTAATTAAATTTAATATTTATTATAAAAACGGTTTTATCATTTTTACAGCTATTTTTCATTTAACTTCTTTCAAGCAAACAATTTTTTAAATATACTCTAATTTTTATACCAACCAATAATAAAATGACTACTTTTTGTAAACCATAATTAATATTTATAACTATATAAAAATTACAAAGAAACTTTATAGAAAACAATTTTTTTTAAACATCAATTTGAAGCCAAAATTATTTTAGTTGCAATCGTCTTCCTCGAATTGTTGATTGTGCATCGAATGGTCCATAATTATATCAACATTTCAAATTTGGTTCAAATTTTTTTTCTATATGTAATAAAGCCAAATCCTTCAGGCTTTCATGGCCAATACTATTTCGATTACAAGTTTTAAGACGGCGTAACGACGAAAATGAACGCTCTGATGAAGCCGAACTCATAGGAATTGATAAAAAAAAAGTTTGAATAGTTTATATAAATTATTAAATGAACTTGACAGATTTTGAAGCATAAAGTAATTAAGACGGTCTTCAAAGTTATCAAATATTTGTTTCACAAATCACATTTTCTCAAACAACTTTAACTCAGCCTGTAACTAGTTAATTTCTATATTATAATAAGTGTTAGAAACTTCTAAAATATCTTCATATTTGCAATTTTGTAAAGTTAAAACATTATGCACAGCATTTAATATTTTTGAATTATTTTCAGAAAATTTAGTTTCTTTGTCAGTTATTATAATATCATGGACAGTGAAGTAAATATTTATTTTGAAAAATTCCGATAAATTATCTGTATTGAAAGCTTCACCTTCACCTAATCTAGCAGGAATTTTTCTTTTTCTTGGAACTAAAAGCAATGGGCAGTTTTCTTTAGTTGTAACTTTATTTTTTTCAAACCACTGCAATTTTTTAAAACTATTTTCATTCCGCAGTGATTTTAACTGAGTTACAGTAGCATTTGTTAAGCTTTTAACAGAAGAATAATTTATATTTTTTTTTCGTTACAACGTACAGCATTTTTCTTTTTACAATCATGGTTTCAAAATTTTTCAAAATTGATATGGTCTGTTTAAATGATAATAGCTAAAATGTATTTATTATGTATATATTCAAAATTTCAACCGTTTTTACTTGTCTTTGTACTAATATGAATCATATATACTATAAATAGTATATACCTATGTAATAATGTGGTATGTACAATTGTAATTATTTATATTGTTATACAATTATTATGAACTCTATACACTTTTCTATCATACACGGTCTCCCTAATTCTTATTATTTATAAATTATATAGTTTAAATTTAAATCCAGATTGAAAAAAATGTATAAGTTCGTGAGTACTTAATAATAATTACCTTAAGTTAAGCTTCACCTCTAGCAAAGCGCTACAACATGAACACCGTATTTCACCAACTTGACAACGATTGCCTCACCAATTCCTGCACTTCCACCAGTTACTATCGCTACTTTGCCTTTCCACTGTTCCATAGCTAAAACTTTTTTAAATAAATTACGTTAAATTGATCATATATTTATGTAGACAGTTTAACTACTCGACAACTATACAAACACAGTACAGTTAAGAGCTTACGTACGGAATTTCTATTTATACAATATAGAGGTAGATAGGTACTAGGTAGGTACTTATAATATAGTACTTCGTATCCAAAACAAACAACATTTAAATGTAGGTAGGCATTGGTATAATTATTTTATTTTATTCATTGATATCAATTTAATCTAATGAATTTCACGAATTTACTATAGGATTTAAAATATTAAGGTAAAATCTTTTCAAAACAACCATATTATAAAATAGTACCCACTTATATTTGCTTATGATGGTTTTAATATAATCTATTTTTTTTCCTGTATAACGACAGAAGAAGCGGCTCTGCGTTAATAAATAACAATAGATGCTACTCCTCTGATGTCATCGTTTATTTATGAACAAATCCAACCAAAATAGAATATTACAAGCAGAGTCAACATGTCACATGTCTGTAGTATTGCATATAATAACTTAATCAACATGTAACTGTAACTTGTTACTTTTAAGTTTAAGTACCACTAATATAGTGATATACATGTTAATATGTATTAATGTTATACAAGATATGAAACAATTAAATTAAATAATTTATGTAATTGAAAGCTGTAACTTATATTTTGTAAGTGTCAGTTTAGGTGAAGAATGTGCGCCAATTAACTTTATATAAATGTAGTTGGCGGTAATTTATTTGGAAAAACATTGATTTAGATGTAGTATGATCTAGATTTGCCGTACAGCCGCACAGTTTGATTATTGTACTATATTAAACACATTAATAATTATTGTTATATAAATATTATCATATTATTTTATTATTTGATATTTTACTATATAGCTATAATATATTAATATGTACACGTCATAATATGGTCTTCAGATTCATAATCTTGTCCGAGAATACTAACTAAATCATTATGTAAAAATAAACAGACATATTATTATTATTATTGCAAAATATAACAAAATTGTTGGGCGACCTGTGACTATTATAATTATTTGTATGTTACTTGATGCTAATAAGTCATAGGCATAACTATCAATATTATACAGTATGATAAATGATAATTGATTATTATAGTGGCGTCATGGCGTGTGTGATTAGACGTTATGTTATTAAGTTACAGGTCTTGGATTTTCGGATAATATCAATTGCAAACAATGAGAGTGCACTAATAATTTTTTTTGTATACTTTTAAAATTCAAAATTTGCAAATTATTCTACAGTAAGAAATTAGTAAAAAAATCTATTTTTATTGCTAACATTTTAATAGAAGATTCTCAATAAGATTTTCATCTTTATCGGAAAACGTTCATCGCACATGTTTTTTATGAGCATTTGGTTCCAAATTTTCTACGATATTTGATATTCAGCTGCCTTTTTAATTATCTATCACATTTGATTATTTATACATCTATACTAGGACGACAATCGTACGCAATGATTTATCATTAAATTCAAATTTAACACATCCATTATAATAACATATTCGACAACAAGTGTACAGCATTGCGGTACCCACTTGTCCACCTTTAAAAAAAATTAATATTGTATATATTAAACATTATTATCAATAACCTTCATGAAAATATGAAAAACATTTCATAAACATAATTTATAATAATTAATATCGATTCATAAATACAATCTTTATAAAAAATTAATAAGTAAAATAGCGGGTAAGTGGATGCTGCTCTGATGTACATTAAAAGGTTGCTGTAATGGTTATTATTAAATTTGAATTCATTGATATGTTTTTATACGAAAAACGATTCTGAGCGGAGACGGCGTAGTCAGTCTAGGATATTTTATATTGTTATAACCGGTTATTACTTATTATTAATACGGTATACGGTAAGTTGAATTAATATTATACATAACATTATTCTTAAATTATCAATGATGCTGAGAAAATATTAATTATACTTAAAAAAATTGGTCGGTTTTGGAACCCAATTACAACAAAAAGACAAACCCTTATATAGTTATATGCGATTCAAGAAAATTACCCATCAGTTATTATAAAAATGCACATTGTACAAGACACTTGAGAAGTAACATTGTAACATTTTATATAAAAAGCTAATTATTTATTACTGTATTTATATATGTAGTTTTACGAATAGTGAAATAAATTATTTTAAAAGCATAGGCGCGTTGCAATAATATCATAAAATATTATATATTTACCTATACTTGATTGTAACATACGCTGACAGACGCATGCCCAGAATGGTTTTTCATCCACAAAAATTTAAATCATTTAATTAAAATTTAAGACATTTAGCGACCTATACGACACCTAATATACATCAGAGAGGTACCAACTTGCCAGCTTTTAGATTCTAAGTGGAGCGATGAATGTATTGATTTTACAATGATGTGTGTTTTTATATTTATATTTTTTTTTTGTCTGTCATCAAGGTTTCTTGAAGTAGAAGTGTTTTGATTTTCTTCAACAGCAACTTTTCTGGTAGGAAAGTGTATCTAGTTGGTGCATTCGAGGGGTCAAAATTTAAAATTCCTAATAGTATTTTCAAAAGCAATAAGAAAAACGAACAGAGCCAGTTTTAGAAAAAATCGATTTTAGTTTTTAGTGTTATTCTAACAAAAATGACCGTAAATACATGAAATTTTCACTGAAAATTTGTGTTAGTATTTCGTTATACTCCATAAAATTTTCAAAATATTTTGACTAGTGTTGAACTATTTATAGGCATATGAAATTTTAGATTATTATGTTTTTTTAAACTAAAGTCGATAAAAAATTTTTCGCTCGGTCATAAAATTTGTAAATGTAATGCAAGGTTCCTCGTAAGTTGTTGTTAGTGGTAATCAAAAAAAAAGTTGGCTATAAATCTATAATGATTTTTTACGAGCGTTTGAATTGAGAATTTTGGCAAAATTCGTAAAAATTACGTAAATTAGCAATAATTATATTTAGTTATATCTAAGATTTAAAAATTTAATACAAGAATTCTTACAAGTTTGTCGACATTTATCAAAAATAAAATTTCTACCGGAAAGTCAAATGAAAATTTGATGAGCGTTTGAAGTTTAAATTTTTACAACATTGGGTAATCACTCGATTTCTCTTGTAGCGATTTTCTTATTTGTTTGTAATTCAAAAACGAATTATTGTAGACACTTGAATTTTACACAAAATGTTTATTTCATCAATTCATATACTTGATAGAATGTCCAAAATATTATAATTCGTTTTAAGCTGTTGACGGAATTTTCAATTTCAATTTTTTTTTTCTATTAATGTCAATAAAATTTTATTGGTTAGGTCAAAAAGCATGAAAATTTAATACAAGACTCTTGATAAATAGTTACAATATCAGTTGAAAAATATTAAAAATACAAAAGCAATATTTTTTTTTATAAACATTTAAAGTTCAAATGTTGACACTATTTTACACTGAGCATTTAAGAACAATATTTATTCGACTTACCGGCTACCATATTAATAATAAGTAATAACAATATGATATATCCTAAACTGATATACCGTCTCCGCTCAGAATCGTTTTTTGTATACAATGATTAAATCATATTTTAAATCAAATTTTGATATCATTGACTTCAAATTCTATCCATTACAGCGACCTCATAGAAACGTAATATACATCCACTTACCCGCTTTTTTTTAATACTTTCAATTTAATTTCATATATAACTTTAAGCAGAATATGTTTTGCTGATCATTCTTATATATAAAAATTAAGTTTTTAACGAGTTTAATATAGTTGTATGAATCTTAACAGTATTTATACATATAGTTGCGGGGTTGAAATATAGACGGTAGTTTTTCAATTCAGAGGTTGAAGATTGTACCCATGTTAAGTTTTGCGTAACCATAGTTAATTTCGTTCTTGGATCCCATGAAAAAAAGATACATATGCATTATACTAAAAATCTAAATTGACGGTTATTAATTAAATTTTTTTAACTGCATAACCGCACTAACCTATACACAGTATACACACACTCGCGCGTTTATATATATATATATATAAAAAAGTATCATTATATGCCTATATGCTTTGTAAAAAATTTATTAATAAGTACCTATACCGCGAGATGTCCTGTGCCTATATAGCTTATTATGTAGATATGTATATGTCTATAAATTAAACTCGATGGAGTACTCTAATTATATAACATATAGCTATATATAGGTCTCCACTATATCATAAACTATGTTATTCGCTTTACCTCTTATAACTATATATAGTATACACGTAATACCTATTCTACAGTTAACAGGTGACATATTTTTAGCCAATGCAGATATGTGTGACTGAGTTAATTCGCGGGAGAGGTCGTACATAATATTATGCCCTGTAAAAAAGTATTTTTAGTGAAATATTTTATGAAGGATATTGAGCAATTTGAGCTACTATTACTATTGCCACAATTTTTTCTGCAGCTACTAACGTGATATTTTCAATACAATATACGTATATGTCAAAAAAATAAGAACATTTTAATGGGTACTTAAGGCCTATGGGTTATCGCCACTACTTACAATTTATATAATTCTCACCACAAAAATCTGGGATTTGCCCTTAAATTAAATATTGCTGGGATCTTTTCCAGCAGTCTAGATCAGCGGTTCTAAACCATTTTATATCCACGTACCACCTACAATTTAAAAATGTTCATGTAACACTTGCCAATAATAACATAGGTATTATTTTTTTGCTTATCAAAAATGAATACTTTATTTTACATGACGTATATCCATAAATATACAAAATAATAATAAATACGAATTTTATTTTATTAGGGACTACAGAATTATGACAATATAAGCATATAAATATAATGCACAAAAAGAAAATTATATACGTACAATTCTTGCAGTTTATATTATTATTAATATCAAATGAACCAAATTATATGAAATGTAAATAATGATCCATTCCATTTTCTTTATAAAGCAAGACTTTCTTTGAGTACCACTTAGGTTGAGAAATATTGGTCTAGATAATATTTTAACCGAGGAGACAAGTATGTGTGTCGTGAACCCAAATTATACTTCGGAAACGAATATTTTGGAATGTGTGCTGGTAATTAGTTTGTTGGCAGCCGTCCATCGTTATTCGTTCCCATATGCAGGTACATTATGCTTTTTGTTTTGTTGTATTATAATAGGTTACGTGTTTATATTATCTAACTAATCTTCACTACAGTCTTTGTTAAATTATATAGCACTGTCAGCGGTGTTAACTATTGCGTGGTATATAATCACAATAACTGCAGAATTAAGTTTGTTTACTAGAAAATCATTGGTCGTCATAAGCGATAACTGAGGAGGTTCCTATACTTAAATACTTTTCAATGCTATAAAATAATCATAAAAAAAATAATATTGTTGAACCACAAAGAAGATTTTTTTATACATTTAAATAATATGGATACAGTGGCAAATTTAAGGGGGGGTCTATTGGGTCTGGACCCCCCCCCCCCCCAGACACTAATATATACATTTTACATATATAATTAAATAAAGCATACACAGAGTCTGAGCCTGCAGTAGGTATACCGTATAACATAATAATATATGTATATATTTCAAATATAGGTAGGTTGACTATCAAAAATCTACTGAAATAATAATAATATAATAAAATATTTTACAATCGTATTTTAATAGTTTTGATAAATTCGTCCGTCGTAACGTTAATTCCCGATATTCTTTAGTATTGCGATAGTGAGTTTATCTGCGTATTTTTCCACTATAGATGATAATATTATTATAACATTCTATAATTGTATACCTACTATTAAAATGTATAAATTTGTTGACCGCCCACAATTGACACTAACACACTGTAATAACGCAATAGTCGATGTACAGAAAATCATAAGTGAGTACAAACTTATTTTTCAATAAAATGTCGTCTAAAAACCAAACATCCATTACAATTTTTTTTTTAAAACCTATTCAAACTTCAAATGTTAATCAAACTAGTACCTTAAAAGAAAATGTATAAAATGCAGAACTAGGCAAAACCAAAAGAAGATTAGATTTTATTTTGTAAATTTTTGAATTTTAGAATATAATTTTTTAATATATATCTTTAATATAGTGTATATAACTTTATAGTATATACATAATATAACACATTTCTTTTATAAAAATAATACATTTGAAATACATATTATTTTTTAGGACACCCCACCTCCAGAAAATTTTTGAAAATCCGCCACTGAATTATGGAACATTTAAATAAGATTTTAAAGTATATTTTATACATCACTTTCTTCATAGACTTTTAGGATTGAGGATAGTTGTTTGTATAATTCGTTGGTTCAATGATTACTAATAAGTTATTTATTATAACTTAACATATTTCTTTACAAAAATAATTTAACAAAGATACATAGCCAATAAGTAGGTATAACGATTAACGTATTAACCAATATTGTCTCGGCAGTGTGTTTAACTATATACGGAGCGTGCATTATAAGTTATGATATACTTGTAGTTGCATTATGTATGGTATTTTTAATGATCACCAATGATTAAGAATAAAGGAATTTTTTTCATTTTTAAAAATAAGCTTGTTTATTTATTTTTATAGCTACCTATTTATTTTATAATAGTTTAAAATTTTAACTAAGAAACAACTAATATGTTTTATTTATTTAAATAAACATTTTGGTTCACTATATTATGAACTATGATCTCCTGAATAGGTATTATAAATTCGTAAATAGTTGTAATTGAAATAATATTGGAATAAGTACTTATTTGTATACAGGATGATCCAACAAGTATGCTCACTCCCTTTTTTTCTTTAATAATGAAGTTTTTCAAAATCTGATTTTTGGAATCTTTAAATATACTCAAAGACCATATTAAAGGTAAATAGAATTTTTAAGTACATAATTATACTGTACACTGTGTACCCCTACACACAAAATACACAATGACATTTTCAAATGCAATTTTTTTTCCAAAAATTAATTTAACCAACTGTAGTACTAATACCTTATAGTAAAATAAATTACTTAAATCATAATATCATACAATTTACTCAGTAATATTATAGACTGACAGTCGTCTTCGCTCAGAATTGTTTTTCATACGCAATGGTAATTGAATTCAAATGTAACACATCCGTTAACTACTTTCTAGATACCTAATGTACAATGTACATACAGCAAAGCATTAACAACTAACCAGCTTTTTAGCTTTTTTATTAATGAATTCATTAACTTCCACACAATTTAATGTAAAAAATCCTTCAAAAATTATTACACAATATCAAATCATTATATCCTAAGTCCTAATATTATTAAAAATGGAAAAACAAATGGTGGAATTGAAGAGTGGCAATTGACAAAATTAAAAAAAGTCAAAGGAATCTTTGTAATTTGTACTATTCTCAGTATAAAATCTACAGATTTACAAAACATAGATATTATTTGCCTACTTATAGACAGAGCAATATAACACTATAAATCTTTAGTATTAAAGTATAAGTACTCAAGATTCTTATATGAAGTCTTTAACTCGTTTTTTCATTTGGAATAGTTATAAATGTATGTAAGTGGCTTGGCGTGGCGCGTTGGCTGCTACCAGTCGCGGAATGCGACTGGGAGTAAGTAACGGCCACAACTACTAGCTCCCGGATGGGTGACCACCCGGTTTCGTAGTAGTTAAAAACTCGCCACACATACACGTGTTTGCTACCTACCGTAACAACCCTAACAATCATAAAAAACAATCTACCGTACCAACTTTAACCCTACTACAGTTCATAACCCCTTCAACAGCTAATGTCCTTAGTTGCCGGGCTTAAGTTCAATGAAAAAAAAAAATGTATGTAACATACAAGCACAACCATTTGTTTTTAAAAGATTTTAGATTTACTGCTTTATATAAAAACAATATAAACACACACAAAATGTCATATTTGACATATATATATATAATGATCAAGTATTACCTATCGATAGCTTTTATAAACATTTTAAATGCATGGCCATGGGTGGATAGGCCTACAGTGAAGCCTAGAATTTCCAGGTGGGCCACCTTGAGATTTCAGTAAAGGGGCCCCTCTTTTTTTAAGTTTGATATAATGAATCTTTGATGGCTTTTTTCATTGAAGGATATCTGCTCATGTGCATGACTACATCTAAAAACTTTTAGTTATAAACAAGTTTTGAATAATACTAATGTAGAAACTTTTATTATTTATAAATACAATTTTTAATTTTTAATACATGGTAAATGCATACAAGGTTACATTAAGTTTTAGTAAATTATTTTCTTCAGCATGCTGTTATTAAAAATAAACAATTTATACTGAGTGAAAACTTGAAACACAATTTCCTTTATGTACCTATATAAAGTGCAATTATAGGCACAAAAACGTAGTTTTTATTTTATTTTTGGATCACTTGAACAGTTATCTTTTGGGATTTGAGCAAGATACATAGTTGGTTATTGAAATTTAATTATTTATTTTAATTATTAAAAATGATATACTACATAAATTATTTTTCATAAAAAGTACATAGAATTTAACTATTACTTAAAAAGTTTTTGAACCTAATTGTGTTTAGATTTGAATCAAAATTGAATTACTATACAATGAATAGCAAGATTTACATTTTCAAATAATAGATTAATATTATTAACAAAATGAAAAAAAATTATTACAAATATAAATCTATTTGATGTATGATAACATTTAAGCTTAATGATCAGTTATTATTTAACATATAGTAAAATATAATACATGTACATTATAACTAATAATCGAAATTGTTATAATTTCCACCTTGAAGTTCAAAATTTTTTTTTTTTGTGGTCACAAAAAGAAGAACCATAGCATGAAAGGTTTCTCATGTAAATAAACAAATGAATACTACACATTTAGTTCAAAGATCATTAAACTGATCCCTCAAATAAGTTCTAACTGTTCTAGAAAAGGGAACCTTAATTACCCTAGTCTTAGCATTAGGCATCATCGTGTCTAACATTTTCTCTAGATTGGGAACTGTAAGCATAGTAATGTCCTTATCTGAATTGACCTTCTTTTTTTCTTTTTCGGGAGCAGGCTCATCTCCTGACTGCTGGCTGGGCTTTCTTGTACCTAGTATAGGTATATAGTTGGTTGTTTCATCGATTGGGAATGATTCTAAATTATTATCATCCATATGCCTATTCTGTTTAAATTGAGTTAAAAACATGTCTGTCACACGCAGAAACTCGTGAGTAATTCCCCAACCTAAATGTGTTAATGTATTGGAGAGTTTCTCGAAACAATCAATCAGGTTAGAATTAACAGATGCACACTAAAAAAAAATTAAAATTAATATTGGATGAATATTAATAAATAGATGTTATACAGTAATAAATACATAATAAGAATACATACTTTGGTCCCATAAACAGGAATAATCAGTAAAGCTTTAATACTGTCACATTTTTCCAATTCATCTTTGACACAATTAGTGAATCTTATGTTTATCAATTCCAGAACATTGAGTTTTTCTAGACTTCTAATGACAGTAAGAACATCATGTACAAATGTTTCCCGTAAATCACACAAATTTTCTAATCGCAATGATTTCAGATTGACAAATTTTTTTAGTGACACTGCAAAATTCTTTGATAAGCAATTGCAATCACCAATTTCCAAAAATTCAATTTTATCAGTGATAGTCTCGAAAATCTGACAGAAGTCTTTTGGAAATGATTCAATAGAGGTTAATGACTAAATAATGACAGTAAAATAATAACAGTAAATATAATAATTTTCTTTCTTCATATAATATAATATGTAATTGGTTGTTACTAGACTTACAAATTTATTCAATTGTGTTAAATTTTGAAATGATGGCATTGACGTAATTTTTATTCCAGTTAAACCTTTTAGTCTTAACTCTGTGAGATTTGTCATTTGTCCCAAATTAATTAAGTTTAGGAGCATAGGATCGTTGAAGTTTTTTGTCCTTTTTGGTACATGTGGATTTCTAAAAATAAAATAAATTATTAAAACTGTTGAAAAAAATGGATTCTATTTTCTTTATTACTTTATTGAAGTCGCATTAAGTACTTCAATTTGAGGTAATGAGTAAATAATATCTTCAACTACATGGGTAGGACATTTAGACAATTCAATGAATTTTAATTTTTGTGCTCTTTTGATTGCGATAGAAAAACGCGACCAAAAACTTTTGAATTCTTCAACTTGAACAGGTATCAACATACAACTAGTGTCTAATGAACCAGTTCTCTGTTGATCAATAAAGTCTACAAATCTTTCCCAGTCATAGACCATAAAATTTTCTAAGCGTACATTCTGCCACTAAAAATATAAAATAAATTAGCAAAAATACATTGCACGAAATTTTAAAGTTATACTTACTAAGAGGTTATTCATTGCAATTAAATGCCAGGTGGTACATACTCTAGAAGCTGATAAAAGCTCACGTGTGTTCAGATGTTTAAAAATATGCCCCAATGCTTTAACCATGTAATGGACTGATTGCATTGGAGCGAAAGATGTTAACATTTTTCCTCTTAATGAACCATTAATTTCTGAATTCCTGAAAAATGTAATCAAATAAAGAAAAGTATTAAGTTTATAATTATTTTATTGTTCTCATTGTAAGAAAGCATTATTGAACATTTATTTATGTTCTTGGTCAGACACATATAAAGACTACTCTAGCTTTAACTGGCAAACAAAATTAGCCCTCAGAACATGTATGGAACAGTAAGATAATAACAAATAGGGGTTAAAAGGAATATAGGAATGCTTATTTTCTGCTCAAATCTGAAAACAAACACAATCAAATGATTAAAGTAGTAAAAAAACCAACATTTAACATATACTCATTCATACAAATATTTTACTTTTACTTTCACTACATTCCCCCAAAAGGTAGGAAAAATAAAAATATATTGACTTACTCATCCAGATTTTTTTTTTCTTGAATAACCCAAGTCATCAAACTAGATCCTTGTGTCTGTTCCATTTCATAAACACACTGTCCATGAAAACTACCATCAAATATAGTAGTTATGTATACATTTCTTGGACAAATAACTGTATTTATTATATCAGCCACTATCATCACTTTATTCATCAATGTCTTAATGTGTTTCTTTAATTTTAGAAATCAGCGTTCAATCAATAATAAAGGTAGGTGTGCCTAACGCTTGATCAACTTATCGTACAAAAATTGGTTCAACACGTAGTTGTTCCGGTTCAGTAGCACCAATAACCACGGTATGAGAAAACTGTACACATCTATTTCTTTGATAGATAGTAATTATTAGAGTAGATTGTAACAGTGGCGGCTCGAGCTTAGATGTGCAGGTGTGCGCACACCACATAGATTAATATGGATATCAAAAAGTGAAAATGTAAAATAATATTGTATAGTAATTATTTTTAATAAAATATCTGTTAAACTGTATTTATTATATAAAAAAATTTTAATTTAAGAAAACAAAAACCACGACAATTACTATTATACTCCTAAAATGTAATTGAGTTATGTAACAAATATACATTGCATGGTGTGCAGCTCAGTCTGAACACCGTCTGCAGTGCAAAATATGTTTTGTTGTCGAGTGAGTGAATTAGCAATTATATGTGACCATGGTGTGCAGCTCCTACTGCACACTTTTCAGGTGGTCGCACGCAATAGCACGCAATAAACACATGGTGAAAGATATCAACGCATCATGCCGTGTCGTATTGGCTTTAATAAAATAAAATATACTATATCTACCTAATATGTATTATTATTTATTATATTATATATTTTCTAAAACCGTACATCAAAATTAAAAATGCTAATTAATATTTTTCTAATTAAATTTATATTTAGAACTGACTAATTTTGTTTTAAATAATCTATTACAATAGTTGCACTCCACCAACTTTGAGCATCACGAGCTGCTACTGGATAGTAATTCTACATAAAAAATATATTTTTTAATATAATATTTAATATCTAATATAAAATATATTATTTCATTGTTTTTAAAAAATAATGAAAACTACATATAATCACTTACTAAACAGACATAACCAACAATTTTTGAATTAAAATTAAAATTTACACATACAGGATGATGGTTGACCAGACATTGAACACACATTAAAGTAACAGGTTCATTACTATACGGGCACCATATCCCACAAGGTATCTGCATAATAACTTCACCATCTGATGTTGACTACTTATTTTTATCCATTCTCGTATATGGTTTGATTGAGGAAGGATTATGAAGGAAGCATAAGGATAACAACCCCTTAATTTTGCATTACATTTGTGAAACAAAATAATAAAGCAAAAAACTGTTTAAGCATAACAATAAAAAATAAAGCCCATGTTACCATTTTTTATTGGTTGTGTCATTTACATCAATATTCTCAAGTTTTGAAGAAGAAACATTAGGTTCTAATTTAATAGCTGGCCCATCTTCAGATGTATATTCAGGTGTATATGAATTACCTATGTGATAATGTAAAATGTTGAATCTGAATTTAAATTGTACAACAAAACATAAAACAGTATATTTCTCAGCTTAATAAAAAGATAAATACACAGGTACAGGGAGTTCCGCCAAATAGAAAATTATATTACATTAACATTTTGAAAAATGTGAATTATATTTTATTTAAACATTTCATAGAAGACCTTGTGTGCATTTTACAATTTTACAATTGTACAATGAAATTCAATATTATTTGGGATAATGCAAGTAACAATGGGCAATTTCAAGTCATTACCAACTGTTTGAATTAGGTTTATTTTATAATTTATAAGTTTATAGTAAAAGACAAACAAATTTTAATTTTTTTTTTGTGGTATACTAAATTAAAGCTGATTCCCTTATTCATAATTTAAAAATAATAATAACAGTACGTAAAATATATTTACTCATACCTTCTTTAGATCTCAATGTTGGGGAGCTCTTTGCATTTTTTATTTTATTTGAAGACTTGTTGTTTTCAGCATCTGACAATTCATAATCAAATGGTGGCTGCTGTACAGGCGTTTCAAATTTTATAGGTCTAACGCCAAAAAAAGAATCTTCCTAAAAACATATAAGTGTATGAAGAATTGAAAATAATATGAGTAATATTTATCATATTGTAAGTTTATATGATGGTAGTTTGAAAAAATTAAGGATAACTAACTTCATTCATAAACTCAAAATTGAGCACTGACAAGCTTTAAAAAAAATTCTATTCAATTTAATTTAAAGATTTTATTAAATAATAGAAGTAAAATAAACGTTGACATTGAATTGTAAGGTTTTAAATAAAAATGTCTTGTTTTAATAGTTATTACATAAAATAGTCTAAAAATTTCAAACTGTTCAAAATTCTTGAAGTTTAAGATATTTGAGGGTTTTGAGAATACAAGAAAAAACAGGGAAAAATTTAAAAACTAAAAATAATATACCAAGTAAAGCATGCAAATTCAAATTTGTTTTATTAATTAATTAGACTATGGAATAAGTTGCTACATACTATAGACAAAAAATAGATATTTTCACTTTACACATAAACAATTTGTTTTCATTACTTTAGATAATTTAGAATTTGCAACTCTGATCAGTTCTTTTGTTCGGTCATTCATGCCAATTGGTTGTTTTAAAAATGTAAAGTTTTCTATAGTTAGATCTTTATCAGCTGAGATGTCCAATTGTTCCCGAATTTTTCGTAATGATCTAAGTTTTTGGTTACTTGGAGAATAATAGTATACAGCACCACTTCTATCTGTTCCATTAAGAATAGTAGATTTACTCGATTTTCTATAAACTAATTCTCGTCTCCATCCTGGAAATTATTAAACACAAATAATACAAAAATATAGAACATTAATAAAACTTACCATGCTCAAGTGGAAGTTTGTAAATAGCATCACTGATATCAACATTTATTTTTCTACCTCTACGAGGCACCTTTCTAGTTTTAGAAGAGGTAAGGTTGAATGTTGGATTACAAATTTCTAAAAATATTAAAAAGAAACAACTATTTTATAACATTGTTCATACTATGAAACTCGTGCCGGACATAAAATATAATAGGTATTATTAACTTTTATAGCATAAGATACATAAATAAATTAACTCTTACCCTTTTAATTTGAAAATTGAGAATTATAATAGTTCATAATTATAATATATCAAACTAAACAAATATAATCTTAATACTTAATAATGTTTACATTAGTTGATACTTTATAGTACAAAATTACTGATTGTAGTGCATATCTACAAATTATTTGAACCTAACACCTAGTAAATTGTACAGTGTAACAAATGTTTATTCTTAAAAATTCAAGCTACACATTATTCTTATTTTTTAAATATTAAGGTTTAAAAATCATGATTTAAAATTAATAAAAAATAAAATAATTCTTTTTGTGTAAAAAATATGAAGTAAAAATCATTTAATTGCAGTTAAAAATAACATGTTTAAGACTAATCAAAAACCATGTAAAAGTAACTATAATAAATATTATTATTTATTATTTACATAAAATGAGAAATTGATAAAACATGATAAAACATTTTTTCTCTGATACTTTTTATTTTTAAATAATTTAAATAATATATTTATAATATGTCAGTGCAATATTTGATTTTTCTTTCAGACACACCCACAACATAGATCAAACAAATTCTCATAATTTTTTTTTTTTGTTATTTTTGTGTGATATTAGAGTAAAATCACCCATTACAAAAATTATAGAAGATAATATTTTTTAGGGTTTGACGATTCATCTGATAAAAAAAAGTTGCAGTATTAATCTGTTACTCATGATAGTAATACATCTGGATCCAAGACAGGATTTCCCCAATTTTTTCATTAGCGTTTAGGCAGACGAAATCTCTATATTTATTTTATAGTAATAATTTCTGTAACCTATATTATTCATGAATTAGGTATATTTATAAAATATTAAATGTTATTCAGTACTTCATTAGTAGGGCTCGGATTTTGTAGCAAATGCTTCTTTTGAGGGGAGTGTGATAGAAAGATAATTCTTATATATAAATACGTTTTGAATCGTTCTGATTGTAATGAAGTAAAATTTTTTTTGCTTTTTCCCACAAAACCTGCTTTTTATTGCTTTTTCCCCTATTTAGTTCTTTCTTTTTAATTTTACATATTTTTCTTGAAAATTTAACTTATTTCTATGTATATTATACTTGAACTATATTATAATTACCAGAAATTATGAAACTAGTAATAAATGTATGACTGATAAAATAACTATGGTTATTATGCCAAATTTGTTTAGTTTTATCTACAATTATCTATAGTTGCATTAACGACTTAAAAAAAGGGAAAATAATATGAATTATACCTGCATATTTTTATAGCACGTTATTTTAGCACTTTAGTTGACCGGTAAATATCAATCGACAATCAGTGAGGTATAGTGTTCTAAATAATTTCTCTATAATCGTCAAAATGCCAAAAGTTAAAAATGAATATTTAAAAAAATCGTAAGAGAATTCGGTGAAAATGTGCTTGTGGCTGTCTGAAGTATTAAATTTCGTAAATTGTGCGAAGTCAAAATAAATTCGGATAAAAAATATTACGTTCAAGAACATGGGTAGAGAAAACCACAAAGAAACATTAAAAAACTTGAAGCTGCAAAATATAATGCAGTTCAGGCATTCATTCGACAATTTTGTAAGTCTGATTTTAATGCTGACCTATGCCCTGCACTTGTAGCGGCAAATATCCCCCAAAACAAATTTAATAACAAACATTTTCTAACATTTCTTTCAAAATATTGCAATAAAATTATTCCAAATGAATCAACTTTATGAAAAGGATACTTCGATTCTTCCTACAATAATTCGATTTATGCAACGAAAAAAAAAAAAAAAATTAAGATATAAACATTTAGTTATGTACATATTTAAAGTAATTAATTAATTTATGAACTAAAAAATCTGAACTTAGGTTGAACTTTGTTTGAATAATAATCAAGTTTTTTTTTCTAGTTCTTCAAAATTTATCTTTGAACTTACGTTATTCAGAGCCAAACAAATTTCGCTTTTTTTCCAATATAACCAAAAATAAACATCATAACATCCGTATAGTCATTAGGCGTCATAGTAATCGATACAAATTAATACATACAACATGGGAGTTTTGCCGGAACCTTAAATCTAATATCATTACACCCAATATGTCAATACAACCGGTGTCATTATAAACGGTTTCTACTGTAATTGCACATAATATTTAAATGAAATAAAAAGTGCAATTGAAGAATTCAGAGAGAATTCCCAGTGTGTGAATGTTATAAAAGATCATATAAAAGATCAATCTTGTCTACATTACAACAAATTTTGAATTTATACCACATGCAATTACAAAATTAGATAAGATTTATTTTTGTTTCAAGTATTTGCATTTATGTATTAATTTTGATTAGGCGAACCCTTGGCAAAAAGTATAGGTTCTGTTAGAAGCAAAACTTAAGTTGGAGGCAGCTAATGGTCACAGCAGTGAAATTGATTTTAGAGAAGCAAAATTGTGTTTTTTCAAAGAATAGTGGATGAGTAGAACTTCAAAAAATCAATAGTATTCATAATGGCACTGCACTAAACATAATGTGGAAGAGTATGATTTAAATAATTTATATTCTATGAAATATGCACCGATTACATCGGTTGACATGGAAAAGTCTTTGAAATGCATAAAAATATATTATCACCCAATAGAGTGAGTTATAATGTCAGTAACTTGACCAAAATATATATTATGGTCATAAATTCCTTTTTTAATATTTAATTTTATGTGTAATTGAAATTTAATAAACAGCAGTTTAAAGTTATGGCGATATACAATGGGTGTGTGTACAATGAAGAACATACGATAATCAATATGTAAAGAGGTAGCATCAGAACAAATACGTTAGAAATTAGAATATAATACAAATGAAAGTTAATATTTAGAGTGTATTTATATTGAGTATGAATAATTTGGGAAATTTTTCTCAATATAGAAAAATACAGGGAAATTTTGTCCATTTTCCAATAAATATATTATACATTATTGTCACTCACCTGAAGTAGAAGGGACTTTAAAATCCAAAGAATCTAAGGTATTACTTCGTAAATTGTATTTCTTAGGCCTCTTATTACTCTGATTATTCTTAACCACATGAGATTTTGGCGATGATACTATAAATCAATTATAAAAACAATACATACATATATATTAAAACACATTCATCTACGCAAAATGAAATATAAGAACATATAAGTTTAAAAATATAGTCATTACAACTTACTACTTGATTTAGACTGTCTTCTCTTTTTATTAACATGATTATTTTTAACAATTGATGGATCTTTGACATCCATAGGTTCACCTGATTCTTTTATAATTTCCATTTTTAACACTAAACATGATCATAAACAAAAAAATTTGATACAATTTATAATTGGTACACCACATATTTAATTTTAAGTTAAATACAAAAGCTGTTTAAACGTATCATAAACAAAAACCTTACATTTTTTCTTATTCTCAATAATTATCAACAGTTCATCATCATTATCAAATCCAATAAAACGTTGTTCAGGTTTTAAAAGTTTATTGGTTTCCTAAAATATAAACAAACTTAAATTTAAAAAATGTGTTGTTTTTTTGTAGTTTATCATACAATATTGTTATATTACACAATATAATTTTTTTTTTTTTAAGTAATGATATAAGCTAGTCAATAAAGACTAAATTCTAAGTGTGAAATAAAGTTGTTTTTAAATAAAGAAAATACAGAATTAAGCATTTTCTATTTAAATAGGTATTAGATGGGTTAGCTATATTATATAATATAATTGTTTTGCAATATTTATATTAGTTTATAAGATTAGTAAATGTTAAATTCTGGCAAATTGTCTTTAACATTGAAAATAAAATTTAAAATGAGTAATTTGATAGTGTAAGTTATCTATCAAATTATTGCATTGCAATAAAATCAGATAGTTAAAAAATCAGTGTTTCATAGGTAATAAGAGTAAGTATAGTTTTTCCTTAATACATACAATTTTGTTCATTACTTTTAAACCAGTAGATTTCTTCTTCTTTGATTTGTCCATTGTTGATACCTAGAAGAATACAAAATTACCAAAATATTATTAGTTATATTTTTAAGATACAAAACGTAAAAATAATTATTTGAAAATGAAATTGTTGGTGTTAGTAACTAAAATCTATACTTAGTTAAGGCATAAATTATGCTGTCTTGGGGTAAAACATATTTTTAAAAGCTCATACTCTGTACTCAGACAAATTAGTTCAAAAACTTCCATCAATTTGTTATATAAAACCACCTTGAATAGGTATATAAAATTGCAAGAACGTCAAACTTCAAATAGCCATTCACTGTTTTAAATGTTTGCAAGATTCTGGATTTACCATAATTTTCAGCATACACAAAAAATGCATTTTGGACATTTGCAGAAAGAAATTTAAAAATGAGTAATTTGATAGAGGAGTTATCCATCAAATTATTGTATTGCAATATAATCAGATAGTTCAAAAATCAGTGTTTCATAGGTAGTAAGAGTAGGTATAGTTTTTCCTGTTTTTCCTTAATATATACAAATCTGTTCATTACTTTTAAACTAGGAGATTTCTTCTTCTTTGATTTATCCATTGTTGATACCTAGAAGAATACAAAATTACCAAAATATTATAAGTTATTGTTGTAAGATATAAAATGTAAATAATTATTTGAAGATGAAATTGTTGGTGTTAGTAACTAAAACCTATACTTAGTTGAGGCGTAAATTATGCTGTCTCGGGGTAAAACATATTTTTAAAAGCTCATACTCTGTACTCAAACAATTTAGTTCCATCAACTTGTTATGTAAAACCACCCTGAACTTCAAGAAATTTAAAGAATTTTGAAGTTTGTCAGTAATTAATACTCAAAATTAAATACTTCAGTCATCACTATAAACAGTTTAATTAAAATCAAGTTGAATATTAATACCAATATAAATATAAATAGCCACCACTTATAATACCATTTTTTATTTCCAGTATTTCCCGTTAACACTTTATTATTTTTTTAAATTTTAAAATTGTGTTTATGATTTCAGTTTAAAAGTTTGAGTTTGACAAAAAAGTTTGAATTTCGAGTTCATGAAAATTGTAGTTTGACTCATCACAAGACACAAAGTAAATTAGGTATAACTTATCAACTTTGTGATACTCAGCGTAATCGCCAAAAACTTCACATCTCGTTAATAAGACTAGTTTTACTCTTCACATTGATAAAATAGAATATATTTTTAGTATATAGGTAAGATTGTCTTTTGGTTTTTGCTGTCAGTAGGATGTGTCTGCTAATAACCGCAAATCTGCAGTTATCATGTGGACAGATACGTACTCGCTTGTCATACAGAATGTTACCGTGATAGGAAACGCATGATTCACGTGTGATGAACTAGACGGCCAAGTCCAAAGACCGTTATACAAGTGCTTCGAAAGCTACAGTTGCCAGGGAAACTCGGCACCAATCCTATTACATGGATGCGGTGCTCGGTGGACGACAGACAGAGATGTTGTCACGATAACGCTCAAGCAGGATTCGCATCGCAGAGACTGTCCAAGAATCCGATAACAAAATGAGAGAGGAAAACACGAAAATTCTGCGTTCGGCGGGTCGTCGTTGTCAATGCCTTTGTCCGTCAATCGGAAGATATCAACAATATTAACAAATGAATCGCGGGAACCTTCGAACCACGAGAGGGGTAGATAAAAGACAAGTGATAGTGTGGTTGTGGTACGATAGGATGGGTCGTCGTGGGAAGATTGAGGAGTCGACGCTTATAGAGGCACCCGATAATGGAGTAGTGATAAAGAGATGTGAACTAACAGTTCTTTTTGGTCCCCACGCTTTTTGAGGTTATGCAAATTATGGGAAAACTAGCCAATTAAATTTGATTGACCGCCTCAAAGAGCGCGAAACTCAAATTTAAGTTATGCACTCGTGTTTGTGGTGATTTTGGCTATCAAATTTTACAGATCAAAACCATCGAGACAATCGCCTATCGAATTTTTTTAACCATCCAATGATCATACAGTGTTAAACTGTTAACGGTTATGAATTACTATTTAATTATTAATTAAAAAATTCCATTTTCTATATTTGCATACAGTAGTCGGTACTATAAAAATTTTTAATTTTTAAGTTTGTGTTTATAGCTCGTGTATTTAATCATAATTATAATATTTTTTTAATAATATTTAATTATTATAAAAAAGCAATGTCGATCCCGAAGAAAAATTGACCAAATTCCTCTTTCCAATATTTAAAATTGGTTGGTAATACAATACTATTAATGAAAACTATCGACTATCGAGTATTCATTCCATAGTTCTTGAAAAACTAGATGGAAAATAAAATCTACCCAATAAAAAAATCACTCAGTTGTTTTTAAAATTATCGCTAGAAAATCGATAGTCAAAACTAGTTACTTCCGCCCATCACTTTAAGGGAAGTAAACTCACGTATTTCGTTTTTAAGAGAGTGGAATAGTAAAAGTAAAACGTAACCAACGCTCCAGAAATGGGGTTAGGCGCCTTAGTGTTGGCGCCGCGGATGGCCGTAACCACGCCTATTGTCTCCGTGACGAGGCCTAAGTAGGCAGTAGCGTGAGAGGCACAATATTATTTCATGAACTGTCGTGTTGATCGCGTCAATGCTCTATTGTGTAAATTGTCATTTATGTATTCTTAAGTGCTATATCGGGGCATGCTCGATCCTCCCTCGACCTATTTGTTAATGAAAGCTCCTGTAACTTAAATGTGTATCAATTTATAAATGACAATACATTTTAACCGGATGGCTTGATTTACATTTGTCACCTGATTACTTTTTTAAAATACACATAAAATAATAAATTTAGTACGAGTACATTTTTAGTAACTATGATGCGTCTTTTACGTTTTAACTTAAGGTTGGTTAGCTACTCTCCTACTAAATAAGGCGTATGCGTCTGTACAAACAAACAAACATCAATAAATTACAATCATCATACCAGTTGTTATAATGTTATACACATAGGCGGAGATCTTGTAAAATATTAAGGGGGGCTCAAATATTTGATGACAAACAGACCCGTGGGGGCATGGCCCCCACATCCCCAACAAACTAATTTTTAAATTAGATCACTCATCAAAATTTTTCTCGTTGACCGTTATCATAACTTAAATAGTTACAAACATAAAAAAAAAGAATAATTAATAAACGATTTAAATTTAAATATTTCAACATATTTGAACTAAATTATTTATTAAAAATCTAAATCACAATCTCAAAAGAAATGTATTCCCAAGAACATCAAACAATAAGTAAAATATAATTTAGTATAAAATGGTCAATACGGTTAACGATTCATTCAATCGCGATAAACTTTACGATAGGTTTAATACAGCTATAGCGATAGTCCTATAATAGGTATCGCTTCTCGAGAATTAACAAAAATTAGGGAAAAAAATAATATTTTTCCCATCTAAAATAGAATGGTATAATATGTACAATATTAGGTATATAAACACAATATAATATTATTGTGAATGGTGACTTAATTGTTCGGTATGTTACCGTAAATAATAAATTGGTAAATAGTGTGTATGTAATGAACTAGGTACACTTATATAATTGTGGATATAAGAATATAAAATAATGAAAAAAGTTCTGCAAACTGTACAAAATTACGGTATTGTTTGTTTAATATTCTAAGGGGGTCTTTAACTTCAAATCATTTATTTTGGGGGGACTAAGCCCCCGTAATCCCCCCCCCGATCTCCGCCTATGGTTATACACTTCTACAACACTAAAATAATGTGTATAAAAGAAAAAAAGCGGTAAAAGGTAACGAGCTGCTGTATGTTAGATGTCTAGAGAGTCACTGAAATAGATGTGTTAAATTTGAATTCAATATGATATACAATCGTTATATATACAAAAAATTATTCTGAGCGAAGACGTGTCGGAATATAATATTACTAAATTGGTATATTTTATAATATTATTGTAATTTAAAATAGGTAATTTTTTTTTTTACTGTTATTCATTACAAATATCTACTACTTCAGTAATTATTTTTTTTTTTCTGAAAATCGCATTTGAAAATGTCATTTCGTGTATAAAATATGATATAACATATACATACTTTAAAAGTTTCAAGTACCCACGAATGGCACAAATAATAGTACTAAAATCGTTTTCTCTTCAGACTAAATATCTAATTTAAATAAAAAAAACTGTGTTCATATATGTTTGTTTAACTACAAAATAATTTATAAATTTTGTCAATATTTTAACTTAAAAATGTAAATGCTTATAAAAAGAATCTTGGCAACACATTTTTAATAATTTTCAACTAACATAGTAACAATGTGTAAGGGCTTTATTTCTTCGATTTTTAATTTATGATATTTGTGTTTAATTTTTGTTTTTTATTTAATTATTTGGAAAACCTGCTTGAGTGGATGTGATTAAGAAAAAAGGTGGAGGAATGGATGAAGAATTTTAATGTAGTAGTTACTTAATACCTAATAAGTTTCAATCTTATGAATGCATTTATTTATATGTGTAAGTTGTATTTATTAAAATAATTAAATATAGATTATTGTTTTTTTGCCAAAACACTGTTTTATTTTGCAGTTATTATGTTAATAATAAACTATGTGAAATAAATGTATGTCATTTTAAAGTATTTGAGTAGGTGTAAGTAATTTAAATGTACGTATGTACAGCATAAAATAAGGCAATAAAACTTTAAAATGTGAGTCTTTAATATACGTGAAAACTCAATTTCTTATTGATGGTTTGAGGGTATGTAATAAAATAAAATTACTTTAAGCATTTAATTATAAATTTTAATATTTATCGTCTAATGGTTCCGAATCATTACGTTCTTCGGCAGAAAAAATATGAAAGGTCAAAAATAGCCTTATTCGTTCTAACTAGGAAAATTTGCTATAAATTAACAATTATATTCAACCAAGGCATATCAATATTTAAGGAATAGAAACTAATATTTTTTTGTTTAAATCAACTGCAGTTATGTAATAAATATCTATTGATGATTCTGAACATATATTTTAATTAATGAAAATGATAGAAATAAAGCCTTAGTTAGACAAAGCCAAGATATTTTTGAAATTTGCCAAGAAGCAGAAAAAGTATTTCAAACTCATAATGTGTTTTTGCCAAATATTACCAAACATTTTTTATGAAACAAATAAGAATATTTATCAAAAACCAAATATTTTTAAAGAGCTCAAAAATCACTGTCTAAATCAACAACTATCTAATTCTAATCGAGATAAAATAATGTCTCACTATATTAACATATTTAAATTTAAGATTTTATCATGCATCTTCAACAAAAGAAAAAAAATAGTGACTCGGTCAGAAAAAAGTTTACATAACTTATTTTATTTAGAAATGAATAATATGTATCTAGCTCATAATTATATTTTTAACTTTTTTTCAACTATTGACAATTTTTTTTGTAGATAGTAATGATTAATTTTTTGTGACTGAATTTCACATAAGTAAATAAATTACTATTATTATTTATTATTCATTCAAGTTTGAATTATTTATTTATTTAAACTGCACTGTTGACTGTTGAGTATAAATTTAACAATTCAATGATATTATTGACTATAACAACGGTTCTTAACCTGTGGTCCGCAATACTCATGTTGGGGGTCCGCAACAGCCTTAACACCTAACATAAGTCAACATGTGACATGAGTGCATTATTACAATATTTTTGGATTATAATTTATTTTTTTCATTTAAAATTATAAAATATATCTTATATTGTAAGAGATAAATAATCTTATCTTTATTACACCGATGACAATTTGAAATTCGATACAAAAAATTGGAAAGGAGTCGGCGATTCCTAAAATCTTTCAACTGGGGCCCGTGTTCTACAAAAGGTTATGAATAGCTGGACTATAATATACTTATTAATGATACAAATATATATATATATTTTTTTTATCCTTTATTAAACCTTTAAAATAGGGATCTTATTTAAATTTTTTGCTGTTTCTACCTAAGTCCTTCCACCATTAAACATTATCATTTGTCAGAACAGAATAGTAATATGCATTATGTATTACAATTAATTATAATGAATTTATACCATGAACTATTCCTAGAATAACAATTTTCTCTTTGATTGGCTTAAGAGGACGTCACACCCGCATGTGTTGCCTCCGTCTTACAAATGTACAACATAGCAAAAACTATATGCGCGGGACAATTTTTATCTGTCTATGTTTGTAGTAGTGGCTCCAAAATTTCTGAACAAATAGAGTAGAAAATTATCATTGCAACAGCATGCCTATATTTTAGATAACACAAATACAATAAAAGTTATTACCTTCTAAACATTTTGTTTTTTGGTTTTTTTCATTTACTTATAAAAAAATGATTGGATGGCGTAATTAAAAACAAAGCACGATGTTGTACAGATAAAGTTCTTCTTTACATGTTGAGAAAATTTGGTGGTTCTACAAAAAAGAAAAATTGTCTAGCGCAAAACAGTTTTTGCTAGGTTGTACATTTGTAAGACCGAGACAACACATGCGGGTGTGGCGTCCTCTTAATTGGTGGTAAAGAAGTGTTGTAAAAAATACTTTAAAAATTGTTTTTAAATACAGATACAAATACATCCATTTAGGAAGTATTTTAAGAACATTTCAAATAGGTTTAAGAAAAAGAATTTAAGAATAAATACAAGTAATGGCCTGAATTTAAATACTATTTTCGGTGTTCAAGTAGGTAAAAATTAATTATGTAATTAATAAACACAAATTTAAAGTTGTATCGTCAGAAGTAGGTATCTACATCATTAAAACTTTGTACTATCTACCTACTTAATTTTAAAATACTGTTTTAAATACTTGATTTAGAAAGTGGTATTTTAGTACATTTACCCAAATAGATATAAAAGGTGTATGAATAAATGAATTTGTACAAACAAGACAATTCATAAAAATTGTGACACTACGGGCTAAATTATAACTTTTTTTTATTGTACCTATATGTATAATAAAGGCATTTTAAAAAGACTAATATTTCTTTTGTTCTCTGGTGTAATATAGAATAGTCTAATGACCTGATGATGAAAAATTTTATAGAAAAAGATAAAAATTATTCATCTATATTTCAATCAACTGAGGTACCTTTTTAGTTTAAGTAAATTCAATATTTCTATTATTATTATTTACACTTCTTAATAAAAATAAATTCATATAAATACTATATATAATAACCTAACTACATTTTTTGTGTAGAGTTTATGTAGAAATTCTGAATGTAAAATATAAATACAATAATTACCTATCAGTTCAACCATATTTTTTTATTCACTTTTTAAAATAATATATATCATATATAATTTATGAAAAAATTAAATGCTTGATTGAGGCAAATTTTAGATAAAAATTGATGTTAGTAAAAGAAAATATTCTAATAATTTAAAAATCAAAAATAATCTTGTTATATTATCATCTTATAAATGTATGTATCAATAAATATACTTTAAATCATACTTTATAGGTGTATGTGCCATAATTCATATTATAATGCATTTTTATAAAAAAAGTTTAAAACTTCAAAATTTAAATTAAATTACCATTTAGATTCATACAAATACTAAGATTTCTAAAACTTAATAGGGTAGGCAGCAAACCTGGGGGCATATTTAAATGGAGTGAAATTTTTACCACTGTATTCTAGGCGGGCGGATGAAATTTTTTACATCTTATCAATCCACTTTGGTAATACTATATCCAATACAATCAGTCTAGTCGAAGTTGAAGAGCGGACGTCAAGAGACAGTCCCCTCAAAGCAGTTTCCTTTATCAGAGTACCATTATCACAAAGTGGTTATAAAAGTAGTAACACAATACCCAAGTGACCGTCAGAAAAGAAAAACGTATGTACTTAATGAATATAGGTTTTCCTAAATGTAAGTGTATAGAAAGAAAAACGTGGATGGGTAGAATATCTACAATTCCTCCAGACTTAAAAAAAGAACTCTAAGAACAAGTGATGTCTATTGATCTTAAATGTTTGTGTTACTGCTGATTTTTGGTCTGTCTACAAAAAGTAAGATTTTATTTATGAGATCAAATATCAATTATTATTTATTTATTTATACTCAGTAAATACTTCAATTAATATGCTCACATACAGGGTCAATACTTGTCAGGCTGGTACAAAATAATAATATAAATTATGATAATATACATATTGAATATGAATATTTAACGTACAAATAAATGGTTTGTTTATAATTGCTAACCGACAGTTTATTTTTTTTATTAGGAGCTACATTGGAGTCACAGTATATTGGTTTGACCCCATAAGTTTTGAACAAAGGCGAAAGGTCAACATACTGTTTATATTTTGGCAAAAGTTCTACATTGTATATTTTGTGAATATGGAACAATTATAAAATATCTAGAGTTGTCACTGATAATCGTTCCATAAAAATGTTTCGATAAGGGATTTGTAAACTTAATACAATAAATAAATTGAAAATGCTATAATAAAATTGAAATTTACAATTATAGTATAAACATTTTGTATTCAAAGAATTTAAATAAAAATCTATATTTCCCTTGTTATTAATTCTGATTTTTTTTTATAAATAAGTGTTCATACAGAGACATCAGAAACAATAGTTGAAACCTCTAATGATGATGAAATAGACGACATTTTAGCTAATGATCATAAACAAAATCCCAAATATTCTATGTCTGACGTGAGGTCGATGGCGACAATTTCGAAGATTTATGTGATGTCCGACGGGGAGAGCAGTAATCAATCTATCTGACCGATCCAGACAAGACCTCTCAGATTACTGGCAAAACTAACATTTAAAAAAATTTAAAAATTTAAAAATTAAAAAAAAATACAAGTTGTCTAGAATAAAACTCTACGTTTAATTACAAACACGCCTTTCTGTCTCGAACCACACCCTACACAATGATTTAAGACTACTAACAGTAATTTAAACAGCTTCTAAATTCTATAAACGCTACCCCAAATCACTTCACAAACATCCAAACGTTCTTGCAAAAATCTTTCCAACCCAATGTCTGGAAACCTTCCAAAAAAGCTTAAGAGGAAATGGTGCTGCAACCTACTCCTTGAATAACCCTCCATCATAAAAAAAAAAAGCCGGAGTGTTGTCAGTGGGCAACTTCTCCGCTCAAGTCCCTCTGTTATATTTTGTCTTCTTTCTAACCATCTGTTATGCCTATTATACTAAATATTGAATAAGTCAAATACAAATTTAAAACAAAAGACATTAAGTACACCCTCGCAATGAATAAATAGATTATACTTGCAAAATGTTTGTAATCTTTAATTGCATCCCTCAGGCAGGTATGAATAAAAAAATGTGTGTGCCTGATAGCAATTAAAATAATAAAATAATGACTAAGGCCTGTCAGCCATAATAATAGTTTGTACAATAATGGTTAACTAATACTCACAGCCCACAAGTGCAACTCAACAAACACAATTACAACAAGTTGCCAAAACGGGAACGCTGATGAGTTGATACCACCGTCTCGATCTACACAGACATCAAAAACACAATCTCAGGTAAATTGACTAACCTAGAATGGGGAAAAACTGTTAACAAACAATAAGACACACACAAATATTACCAAGCATGAGATTATAGTGATACACAATTTTAAACAGAAAACGTGGTTTTTTTACTGACAGCAACATACAAAACCAAAAAAAAAAATCTTACCGATTGAAAAAACATGGATGAGTGGTGACTGGTGAGAAGAAAAGTTCTCCGGATTCAAATATAACCGACAAGCAATTCACTAGTAAATGAAAATGCAGTGCCACTATAATGTAAACTTAAGCTTCAAACATATTGAGCTTTAGGTCATACTGACGCAGTGAATTAAAATGAAGTTAACAAAAATATAGAAAATACATTATATTATAATGTACACAAATTGTTGGTCGCCGGTGGGCAAAATACACAACCATAGACATATAAACAACAAGATAGCCAACTGTACAGCAAAAAGGACCAAAAATGATAACTGTCATCAGTGAAACGCACTGTTACCAACATAAACATAAACCGCAGGTACAAAACTACAACATGCAAAGGACATATTAACAAATATTGTGCCCTATTATCACTATTATCATACATAAAAATGATCTGGATTTCTTGGTTTTAAAAGATAATTACAAAAAGACAAAATATTTTTTTTCTTTCATTTAAACTCACATTTAAAATATTTACCATTTATTGATAATATTGAATATTTCAACTAAACTTTTGGAATTTTTAAAAATATTTGGGAAGCTCTAAAATGTTTTGTTATGTAATTTAGTCTACTTGATTTAGGTTAGTTAATTTTATATTACCTATTATTGACAAATGCCTGGGGTAAATGGAATGAACATATTTTGCTACATATCTTCACTTACAAGATGTTTGTTTTACAAGTTTAAGTTATTACAACATATAGGTATTCTCAAAAAATGGTTTATTTTGTATTAACACAATTTATTCTATCATATGGAATTGTAGTTTGGGGGTGGACAGATGGTATGAATAAATAATGCACGCACAACTAAGAAGCCTCTGTACATTTTTAATAAAAATTAAATTCACTGCTTTTTTACTAAACAAATATTTTGGAACTGTTCATATAAATGGTTTTATTGAAAAAATATATTTTTTCAAATGATCAAAATGGACATCAGCAGTTCTGAAATTCAACATAGTTGTAGGTAACACAAGGTCAACAAAAAAATTCAATTCAATGAAGATTAGAACTGTATTCAGACAAAAAGGTATAATTTGTGTTGGATCTACATTTTTCAGAAAATGTAATATTAATTAAAATCTAAAAACACTTAATAAAAAACAATTAAATAATTATATTCACTCAATGGATCTTAATAATATTGTGTTATAAATATTAGGGGTAACCTATATATCTAACTAAGTACCTACATATTATTATTTATTAGTGACTGTATCTATTACTGTATATTGTATTTTGTTTGTTATTTTTCTTTGATAACTTATTATGAAATTTTAATTAATTATTAGCTGGTATTTCTTAATTACATATACTTTAAATTTAACCTTACTATCCCCTACCAAAAGCTGCGCTTATTGTGGATGTGTTGTTAATCTTATGTTGTTATATTGACAAAATAGAGAAAATATAAATATATACAATAATTAGAGACAAGACTTACCAGCCACGTGAGCGGTGATGATCACGAATGCGCTGATTTCCAGATTGCGTACCTATACTTGAGTGAGCAATCACAACAGCAATGACCTATATATTAACACAGATATTTACAGGTCGACGTCGGCAGCGACAGCGTATGAGTGAGTGAGTACACATCGTCGATGATAATACAATTTATAGATGAGTCAAAATATATAGTCGTAACGTCCACGGTTAAAGGGGGCGATCGACAGCACTTCCAATCAAACATAATATTATTATAATAATATGATATTACTTTGTGGCATCCGCGAACTAAACTTGTTTCGCCTCCCAACGATCGCACGCGGCGGACAGCGGCACAATGGTGAGCACGCGATGTGATCGGCGAAATTACAAAACGAGAGGGACAACTTTTAACGCCCGCTCTACGGGTTACGAATAACACGCGGCGACCAATAATTATCGCACAACGACATGCACTCATGGTGATCGACGGGACAATAAACGATATCGTGAACGACGCAAACTTTGACGGTACGCGTCGCGCGAAACACGAGGTTTTACTTCGATCGATCATGACGCGCGACACACGTTCTCTGAAGGCGGAAAAGCGACAATATGACCTAAGCGCGGCGCACGGCACTGCGGCGTAACCGTCTACCGTCACGACAAGACTAGCCCGCGAGAGGCGACGGCTTACCGGTTAGGGGATAAAAGTTGTGACACATTCTTCGTTCGTTATTGCGCTTGCGTTACATCAATATTGGATAGTAGAATAGAAATATAGGATAGGCGATGGACATGGGTCGTCACTATGTTGTTTCGATCATGAGTTATGGTTAAATATAATTACATACCTAAATATGAATAAATTTAGCCATGGTTTCTATCATAGTTCGATACCCTCAAGGCCGTAGCCGGGGGGGGGGGGGTTCTAAGGGATGTAATTATTTGGGCCCGGAAATTCATGAATTTTGAATGTTTTTACTGTACACCAAAAAGTTGCTTGATCAGCTACACATTTAATTTATAATTTTAAATTGTATTTTACTGCATAATTAATAATTATGCTGTTTTTATTTTTATTATGATATTTCATGAAAATGTCGAACTGAGTATGTATAAAAATATATTTGTTGGCAGTAAAATTATGTGTATATGAAAATGTAATAATAAAAACGTCATCAATATAAAATAAAACCTGTTTAGAATTAGGCAGTACAATAATATTATGCAACTATTACATCCCGATCAGGTTAAACGTTACCTATATTCCCGAATATGCCACCAGATCCGTAGAAATATTATGTTTATTACTCGTAATAGAAACATTCAGTAACACCAAGTATTAATAATAAGTATTATGATTCGATGAATTATTTTATAATTTATTACTCCAAAATCTTAAAATAACAATAATAATATATTATCAACGGCGGCCACGACGCAGCAACCCACGGCGTACGTGTTTACGCAAATGGCGTAGGTATACGGCACGGCGAACAATAATACGGTTGTATTAGTACGTCGACAGAAACTGCCAAAATCGCAACCAATGTATACAACACAACGATTTCGGCACAGAACATTTAGTGTCCACAGAACAGAAAAAACGGATACAAACGATACAATCAGAACCAGAGCGATTTAACACATGGTATTACGCCAAAAGTACAGAGACAACAACAGACGTTGTACACTAGCATAGGTACAACGATCGAACGGCGTAAGACTATTAGACGGGCGCACGAAAAAGCGGGGTGGACGGGTCGTGGCAGATAAAGGTCGCAAATTATCGCGATAACATTACTTGATCAGAAATAGCTTGGTGACCTATATTCCTAATCATCAACAGGTAGATTAGAAAGACTACTGCAGAAGCCTCCCAGCGATGGTACGACGTAGTAAAAATTATTTTTAGGCTAGCAGGTCACGACACCACTGTTTTTTGAGTAGTTTAATCGGGTCGCCTGGGATAGATGCAGATGATGGATCAGAGATTAGAGGATTTTTATGGTGCGCAAGGTGGCTATAGAAACGTTTGTAGTAGGTTTTTGATAGTTCAGAGACAAATGGTATTTTAAGATCAGAATGGAGGGTGTGATTAGACATAGAATGGCGTTTTTAGAATTGAAAGTAAGGTAAAAATGATTTTTAAATTATTTTGAAACAATATTTAAATAAATCAATGATTAACAAAAAAAAATAATTTTTGCAATGGGTGATTTCATTCTAAAATTACTCAAAAATCATTAGAAAAAAAATTGTATGCGTAAAAACGTTTTGGCCATGTTGTGCGTGGGCTACAGAGATAAAACAAATAGTGAGCTGACACCTCAAATAAGAATCTTCTTTTATATTAATTTTAAAAATATTACTCACGACCGTATTTTCAGTTATATAATATTAATATATAAATGTTTGGTTATGTAAATATAGAAGATTGTCGATTATCAGCACTATAATTGGGACCGAAGGGGGTGTGGATAATCGATTTGTGTGAATAATCAAACATCGATTAAAAATATACAGGATGTTGTACTCAGGCATTAAGTAAAAGTAAAGCAAAATTAAGTGAACAAAATTGAAAAATGGTTTAAGTAATAACCGGTCGTGTTACTGAATTAACCTAAATATTATACTTTATTTTAATTTTATATAATTTTTTTATACCTACGTGTAACATATCAGTTGTTATCCAATTTCGTATATTTGTTGTGAAAACATACGAATTTATATAGTATAATATATAAACACGAGCCGCAACTCGTTCCTACTTTATTTAGGGTTTGGGCCTCAATTCACCACTGCAAAGGTATCAATGGCGTGCTCAGCTTTTTTGAAAGGGGGGATATGACTTTTCATAGACCACGTCATACAGCGTTAAATTAATTTTCATTGCTTCATCATATATTTTATGTGACACAAATAATCCAAAGGGGGGAGTATGTCACCCTCATCAATGACCGTGAACTAGCTCTTGACCGGTTTACGCATACAATATTTAGAAGGCACGTTTATATAAATTTAGTTTACATCACTCACTCATTACAAATAACTAGTGTGAATACTTGACCGAAGTTTATATTTGTAGAAAACTTAAACGTTATACAAGGCTCAAAAAATAATATTTTTTTATCTTGTGAATTGTACATTTTTTGTACCTGCATAAAAATTAAAAAAATTCCAATGATACATTTTCATCATGTTGTTTTTTATAATTATTTGTTATATTCTTTAGTATAGCCTCAATAGTACACTGTATGGTGTCTTATTATTTCTATAGTTGACAGTTAATTTTTAAATAAATAATTAAATTAACGATCCAATGAATGTAAACTTGATTCGTGAGTGAGTTCAGTTTTTAAGTCAACTGTTCAAATACCACCTATATAATATAGCCAATATAAGTATTTTTCTAATGCACAACTTATAATATTTTATCTGTGAATTTTCTTTCTTTTTAACCAAAAGAAATGCTAGAAATTAGACAGTTTATAGAAATAAAATACACTAAAACAGTGTTTTCCAAACTTTTTGCAATGACGAACCCTAAATTTAATCCTCATTGGAAATGCGACCCCCTGTTAAAAATCAAAAAAAAAAAAAAATCAAGTATGCCATAATTATATAATATCTACTTTTATTATAATAAATGCTATCATTCTCATCGATAAGACAACAAATATTCCATAATCGTAATAAAATAATATAGAGATTACTAAAAATATTATGATATCCAATGTAAAATCGATGCCATTCATTATACAATACTAGTTTGACTTCACATTATTATTATACAATATAGAGGTATCAATATTTACGGCTAAAATAACTGCAATCGTAACCGCGAGTCAAGACCCATAAAAACAATTTTGTGACCTATGGTTTGGGAAACGCTGCATTAAAATATTAGGGAATAATAAAATAAATAATATAATTTAATATGGTATACTAGTAGTACCTATTTTAATGATTATAATAATAATTAACACAGAGTGTATTCTGACGATATTGTAAATTGCAATTTCTAGAGTTTCGGGGAAGAAAAATTATTTGTTGTCTCCCGTAGTTTGTACGACGCATGACTTACAAAAATATTACAATGCACGGCAGCTGTTGACTCGGCGGGGTGGCGAAGTCATTATAGACCCCTCCCCGGCTCCCCATCGCACCTGAACAGTCGTCGTCGCCGCCGCCTGCAGTTTTACCGACGCCACCGTCTTCATACGCTTACGTAGAACGCGTACGATGAAACATCGGCAACGGTCATTCTCACGATGGAAATTGATCCGCGAGGAAGCGCTGCACGCAATCGTGGGTTGTATGTTGTCATGATCCCAGAACGTTACAACTTTAGTATTAAACATCATTGTTATTAGCTCGAATACTGAATACTGCCGTGCATGGTGCCCTGTTCTTGTCACATATTGTCAATATTGCCGGCACTCATCTACGGGCTACGACTAGGCCCCTGGTACCTGGATACGAGGAACCGAAAGCCGTAATAATATTAAACAATACCGTAACAGGAAATTAATTTTGAGAGGGTGGGGGGGTTGAAAGACTATATGTTAATCGTTAATTCCAAGTGCTTGTAATGAATTTATTATTACTGAAGCTAGGTTTTGGCCAGTTTTACTATGAACCGGTACAAATTGTAAAGTCTTCACGTAAAACATAATTAATAGTATCAGTTGTCTCTACTGAATCTAGATATCTAATCAAAGAGCCAATTGCTCTATGCGTGATATGTCGGTAGTTTCGTCAACGAGAACTGAAAACGACTTCGAAGCATTAATTTTACAAACTAAATTATCTTGAATTATTTTCCCGCAAATCGTATTAAAATTATTTTGTATTTTAGAACTGATGTACATACTGATGTTTCAATATGATTAAATAAATGTTTGTCTTCACATACAATTCGCATACGCAACAGTGCTCTAAAATTTTTGCCATTTCAAACGAATTAATTAAAAATTATATACAAATTAGTAATTAAAATGGTAATTTTTGTAATTTTAGCACTTCGTAAATCGTAGAACGTAAACACTAGACTTAATGTCAACTAAATGTTGAAAATGAATATTGCCCGTGAAAAACGTTTTAACTATAGTTACTACTATCATATTATGACATATTATACTATTAACTATTAAGATAAGATTACTAAAACACTAAGAACTAGTTCTGTATCGATTGGTGGTAATGTATTATAATATTATATATAATATAATATCAAGAAATCCAATTGATACACCCGTAGCGAATTTATTAGGTGTTGTTATTTATAAGTTTATAACGTAGACTATAGCTGTCATGGCATGTTCATAGTTATTCAAAATACGCTTCAAAAACCAAGCATATTATATTTATTTATTAAACGTAAACGTACAAGGTACAATATACATTGATTATTCTAGATTGAAATAGTTATTTTACTACTGCATAATATAACACGAAAAAATGTTGTGGAGGGGGGGGGGTGAACCCCCTCCCCACAGATACGGCCTATACGGCCTTGATATTAGACCACTAAGCAACGGCTTACTATTTATCATTTTACCATGATAAAATTATAAAATGTACCATTACCATTTTTGTACAGTTAAGTTTCCCTGCCGCGTCAAACATTTTTAGCTGTTATAACTACATATTCAGAACTTCCATAGAATGTTTAATTGTAGAATATTATTAACGTGTAAATAAAATTAAAATAAAAGTATCAGTATTATGATAACAGTTTCAAATCACAGTTCAATAGTGTATTATTTCTAAAAAATACATTACTTCACTAAATATTTAAGTTTATATTGTGTAGCAATAGAGTATTATTGTAATACCACACTTTTACATTTATAGCCACCAATTATTTTCCTAAATGCATTAATCTTTTAATAACTTGCATGAGGTTTTATAAATTGTAGATACGAAATAATACGGTAATGCATCGTAAATAACGACATTTTTACCATTGGAAAACATGTATAACTGAAAATCAACAATTTTTGAGTTACCACACTAATGTTCTAATGCTATGGATTTGTAACATAAAAACAAACTTTTTTTTGAATAAAACTAAACAGCTATTACTAGTAGT